TATTCTGTACAACTGTTTACAGACAAGTCTGGAATAGACAAATTCACAGAAACTACAAGTGGCTGCCAGAGACAGTTGGGGGGGGGGGGGTGGGCATGCGGATTCAACTGCTAATGAGAACAAGGAGTCTTTCTGGGGTGATGAAAATATTCTAAGAGGGCTGGAAAGTTAGCTCAGTGGTTAAGTGTACCAGCTGTGCTTCCAAAGCACCTGGGTTCAATTCCTAACACCCATGTGGCAGCTCACAGCTATCTGTTAAGTCCAGTTCCAGAGGATCTGAGACATATACATGCAGATAAAACAAAGTAAAAATTTAAAATATATATATATATATATATATATATATATATATATATCCTAAAATTAGACACTGATAATTGCATAACTAACTATACTGAATACTGCACTGCACATTTCTAAAATAAATTAATTTTTAAGTGTATGAATACTTCAATTAAGCTGTTACTACTTTAAAATTTTCTTTTAAAGATTGTATTATTTGTATGCGTGTGCCCAAGGAAGTCAGAGGAAGACACTGGGATCCTCTGGAGCTGGAGATAGAGGCTGCTTGCTGTGAGAGCTGCCCAATATGGATGCTGGGAACTGCACTCAGGTTCTCTGGTAGAGCAGAAAGTGCTATTAACCAACCACTAAGCCATCTCTCTAGTTCCAAGCTTTAAGATATGGTCTCACTGTGTGGCCCTGGCTGGCTTGGAACTTGCTAGGTAGACCATGCTGGCCTCGAACTCAGAATTCAGAACTCAGAATGCTGGGATTAAAGGTGTGCATACCACATCTGGCAGCCCTGTACTTTAACCAATTATTTTATGTTTATTTTAGTGTGGGGTGGGATGGGGTGGCACACATGCCCCAGTGTACCTGTAGAGGTCAGAGGGCAACTTACAGGAGTTGGTTCTTAACTTCTACCACGTAGGATCCAGGGTCGGAACTCAGGCTGTGGAGCTTGGCAGCAAGGGCCTTTATTAACTGAACCATCTTGCCAGCCCAAAATTGTTTTTTTCTTTAACTTATTTTATTTTTAATTATGGTGTACACCTCTGTCTGTGTGTATGTGAGTGCGATTGCCTGAGAAGGCCAGAGAAGTCCAATTCTCTGAAGCTGGTTCCAGGTAGTTGAGAGCCACCCAACATGGGGGCTGGGTACTGAACTCAGTTCTGTACAAGAAGGGTATGTACTCTTAACTCTGAGGCATCTCTCCGGTGCCTCAGGCTGCTATTTTTAAAGAAATCCTACAGTAAAAATATATTTAAGTGTAAAAACACATGTATACTATACATATACATACATTTTAATTTGGATAGTTTCATTTATCTATGTTAACTTTTTTAGTATTCTAAAATTAAAATGTATGAAATGTTTCATAACCTATTCTCATAAGTACTGATATAACTATAGTTTTAAACTTACATCCCCATTAAATGAGCAACTGTAAAGTCCTGGAATCAGTATCAATCTGCTCTGTTAGCTGAGCATCATTCATTCATTCATTTTATTTATTTATATGTTTAAGAAGGGCTCATGTAGCTTTAGCCGGCTTTGAACTTGTTATGTTGAGGATGGCCTTGAACTCCTGACCATCCTGACTCTACCATCCTGGTGGGATTACAGATCTGAGCCACCAAGCCTGGCTGGTGAGTTCTAATTTCAATTTTATATTTGTATAGAATCAAGAAACTACACATTAAGGGCTGGACAGGTGGCTTAGTTGTGTACAATACTTGCAGCTCATGCAGAGGATCAGGGTTCAATTCCCAGCAGTCACTTGTGGTGGCTCACCATCACCCATAATTCCAGTTCCTGGAGATCAGATGTCCTCTTGGGGCCTCCTCAGGCGCCAGGGATGGATGTGGTACACATTGCATACATGCAGGTAAGACACTCAGACACAGTAAATAAAAATAAATCGTTTAAAAAAGTATAAATTTAACTGGGTCTGAATGTTCTAACAGTAGGAATAATGTCTTTTATAACCTCATAACCTGTGCAAGAGACAGCATAGTCCTTTATACACGTTATGGACCAATGAAATGCTGTTTGTGATAGTTAATTGTGGAGTTGCTGGGGACTCAGGATCACCTAGATGAGGAGCACCTCTGGATGTGTGTGAGGGAATTCTGCACAAGGATTAACCTTGGATGTGAGCAGCACCACCTCATGGCAGTAGAGCATCTCTGGACTGAAGGGACAGAGGAGCGAGTGCTTGCTGGGCACACTGCTGCCCGCAGCTGCACACTCCTGCTACCACGAGCTCCTACCACGTCTCTCCGCTGTGATGACTGTGCCTGTGAACTATCAACACACATACATCCCTTCTTCCCTTAGGCTGTTCAGTCAGAGCAGTCAGAAAAGGAGCTACCGTACTCTTAGTACTCTCGAATATTACTAAGGACCAGCCTTAATAATCTTCTTCCCAAGGGCTCAGAAGAAAGGCTACGAATGGCAGAATTGTTTTCAGGAAAAGACTCTCAGCATCCCGAGCTCTTAGTCCATCAGTTTATTCTTCTGAGTCAGTTCTCTCTCTACACAGCTTCTATTCTGCTCTCGTGCCTAGCTCCTTTCTTGCCTGACTTCTCGCTACATTTATCTGTTGTCCCCTCTAAGTTCTAACTTAATTCTCTCATCTTAGTTCTGCCCCATCTGGGTTCTCATCCATCTCGTTCTTTCCCATCGTAGCTCCTCTCCCATCTCCTCCTCTCTCGTCTTGCTCTTCCCCATCTTCCATCTCCTTCCCTCGTACTCTCCTCTAGCCCTTCAGTCTAGTTCTTCCCCGTCTCAGTTCATTCTTCTCCAGCTCTGACCATTCTCTTTTCTCTTCTCCATCTCGTCCTTGCTCTAAAAATAAAACTGCTTTTTATCCCTTTGGCTCTTATCTTTCCAAGCTATCTCTGCTCCCACAGTTTCTGGCAGGGACCAAGGGTGGGGGGTGAGGGGTGGGGAGGAGTGTGCTCGGTCACTAGGCAATTAGCTAAGCAACTTCCGTCACAGCTAGATGTACCTCTAAGTAGGAACCCTTTAGTTCTGAGTTAATTGTTAAGGGTGGATCTAAAACTAGAGATAAGACTTTGGAAAGGAGAAAGTTAAGCTTAATTAGCACATCCATCAGGCCTTCTCAAACCGATAGTCTGGATGCCTAAGTCTGTTCTTAGAGAGTACAGAGGTATCTCTGGTAAGATAATTTCGTCCATCCAGGGATGGTCCTGGCTGGATGCTGCTAATGACGATAATGACAGAAAGGCCTGTAATTAGGGATCCTGAGTGCGTTACTGCACAGAGGTTATCTAAATATTCCTTTAGTAGAGGGGAAATGGTGCCAACAAGTGATGGAAAAGCTACAATAGCACACAAGAAACTCATAGCAGGAGACAGCTAATAATCAAAAGCCAAATATCAACAAGACTCCTTGAGCTTAACCTCTGGAAGGCCCTCGGCTTCTTCCAGGTATTAGCTTGTCATAATCAGATGAAATCCCACTTCATATATTTTTATGGCTTGCAGCAAGTACTTCATTTGTAAAACAGAACTACAATAGGCAAGTTTTTGTTCTATGTGCGCCCTTCAGAACTGTAAATGGTTTTTACCTGGTAAAGGACAAATAGGAAATATTTTATGACTTTGTGCACCAGACTGTTTCTGATACAACCAAGCTACTCTCCTGTAACATGAAGGCAGTCACAATGAGCATTTAAACATGCTTAGGCCAATACTGCACACAGAACTTTCTACAATATGATCTACTGGGCATCTCAAAATATGGCTATTATTGCTAAGAACCTGAATTTTAAAATTATAGTTACTTCTCAGTATTTACAGGTGTGGTTCTCACAGGCTCATTAATTTCAATGTTTGTTCCACAGTTGATGGAACTGTTTCTGAAGGATTGGGAGGTGTTGCCTTGTTGGAGGTGAGTCACTGGGAATGGGCTTTGAGGTATCAAAAGCTCGTACCTTGTTCCCTCACCCCCAGCCCCTCTGCCTCCAACTTGTGGATAAGATGTGGGCTCTCAGTTACCAACTCAGCATCATGTCTGCCTGCCACCATGCTCAGCAACATGATGGTCATGAACTCACCCTCTGAAACTGTAAGAAAGTCCCCACTAAATGTCTTCTCTTTTTTATTTTTTCAGAGCCAAGGACCAAACCCAGGGCCTCGCACTTGCTAGGCAAGTGCTCTACCACTGAGCTAAATCCCCAACCCCAATATTTTCTTTTATAAGTTGCTCTGGTCGTGGCATCTCATCATGGCAGTAGAAAAGTGAAAAGCAACTAATACAACAGGGCGCCTGTTGTAGGACCGACCACCAAATGGTGGAATCTACTATAAATTATGACATGTATTTGCATATAATTCACCTGCATCCTCACATTACACTTTAAATTATCTCTGGACTACTATACAACACAAATGCTACACAACAGTTGTTATACTGTTCAGAGAACAATGACAAAAAGGGTCCACATGTCTAATAGAGAGCTTTTTTTTTTTTTTTTCAAATATTTTCAATCAGTAGTTGGTTGAATCTATCGACGTAGAACCTGTTGATATAAAGGGAGGCTATAAAGCTGACAAGAAGCTCAGCAGGTGGAAGTATTTGCTGTCAAGCCTAAAAACCGAAGTTTGATCCCCGGACCTGGACTGTGCTGGCAGGAGAGAACTGACTCTTTCAAGCTGCCCTATGACCGCCACATGTGCACTGTACACACTCGAGTACACACACACACTCATATGCACAGTCTCTACTAAAAAACAGGGGCTGGGGGAGGGGGCAGGTATGTTTCAAATCTGCAGGCACTAACCAGAACCACCTTAAATAACTAACCAAATTACCTCTACTGAAAACAGAAAGGTAAAAAACAACTTGTGATTTTGTTACAGACAAACAAGGAAGGAAATATGACATAACATTTCTAATAATTAAAAGGACATACCACTACATAATCACAACTCTAGACACACCAACCACGGCTCAAGCTAGAGGATACGTGTAGAGCTCCATGTATCTGGACTTCGCCATGCTTTGTCTGGTGTACACTTGCTGAATCCCAGCTCTGAGGTCATCCCAGATCTGGTCAAGACCAATCTGCTTCAGTCCATGGGGATTCTGACTCCTGTTTGATGACATTATGAGGGATGTTCTGAAGTTGTCCAGTACAGCAACCCTTGTAAAGACACAGCTAATTCTCCATTAGTTGAAAAAAGACAGTATCATTCCAAATGTATTCACAGCAGCTCAGAAAGAACGTTCTTTAGGTGTAGAGAGTAAAATCTCATTGCAGGCAAACCTGAAAAGGAAATAAAGGAGAACTGATCAATTCTAACTTTCTGGGGTAGCTAACAGGGTAACCCTATCGACAAACAATCTCTGAGTGTCTGCAGGTACTGCAGACATTCTCACTTTCTACATGGAAATAAATGCACTATAGGTCTGTCTGTGAAACATGTTTAGACATTTCATCCAAAATCATTTAACTATTAGTGCTCTGGAAAAAGTTGAGAAAAACAAGCAGAGACTGTTGTCATTCTTTCCCTTCTAAGGTCAAAGGTTCAAACACAGCACTGGACCTTTCTAACAGTTAGACAAACTCTAAAGGAGACACAGCAGAGAACGTGCTGAGGAAATCCCCAGAAACAAGTAGGACAAGCAATACCATCTTACCAGCTGCCTGTGAGTTTTAGGAATTCTTCACTTAGCACTTGACAGAAGAGCTAACATGGGAAGAGTGAAGGTGAAAGGACACAGGCTTTCTTCCAACAAGGGAATCTGGGAGGGATTATCAAAATTCCCAATGTACCTTGGACTCAGGAGTACTGGCTTTGGAGCTTAGCTCACACCTTACTAAGCTTGAACTTTCTAGCCTGCAAATGGGGGCAAATTACTTTCCTCACATGGCTATTGTAAAATTTAAGGATAACATATATAGAATATTTGATAGTAAATACTTACCAAGTGGTTATAGTATTTTTAATATGGTAATATTATAATACTATGGTTATTATTTCTAAGTATATGGCGCTACCTCAAAACACAATCTGTGATGTTCCTGATGTTGTACTTAGTTGGTCCTTCACAATGTACACATACTTTAGAATTGTTCATGCACAGCACATTAAAATGTAGAGGCTTTAAGTAAGTATTTCTACATGCAAATAAAAAGAAAACATTGAGTTCTTTTAATGAATGGCTTCACAAAATAAATGTCAATGAAGTAAATGGAATGAGAGATGTCAGCACAGGCTGCTACTCTCCAAATCGAAGCCTGAGATACCTCAAGTCATCGAGCACACTGTATCTCCTGATCAACATTACGAGGTTCCACACAATGCAAGGCCCTTGTAGGTCGTGCATATAGATTAAGTTTTGACTACTGAAACTTCAGTTATCTCTAACATTTATAATGTGAGCTATAGGACTGAATATTTTATGAAAGCAAACCATCCTTCCTATCGTATAAGTATTTTATTTCATACATTCCAATGTTCAAATGTGAAATGTAATCAATACAACACAAGAGTCCTTTAACTATAAAGAAAGCAACAGCTCAGCAAATGTCTCCTGTACAGTTTCAATCTTTTTGTTCACTTGGGGGAATCCCAGTAACACCCCGCTTGATGACAATCAGCACTCGGACTGGTGCTGCCACCTCCTAGCATCAACATCTGCACTTACCTCCCCATCACTTCATTGCTAGTTCCCCATGGGGAACCTAAATCTGCTCAAACTAGAATCAACAAAGCAGTTACTTCTAATTGCTCCCAGCAATGAAGGAAACTATTTTCTATCACCTGAATTATTTCTCCGTATGTAACCCAACTCAGAAAGTGGGAAAAGCACTGTATCCACCACCTTTCAGGACTCTTGGAAAGACTGATACAGAGTGCCACTGATGCCCTCAAGGACACGTCCCATCGATTAAGTTTGTTGTTCCTCATCCAGTGATCACCACCACATCTCTCAACTGGACTCTCACACATCTGTCCATCTGTACCAGGCCCTTTTCCCTTTTTAAAGCAGCAGAGCCTGAAACTGTCCTCCTAATTCCTAATAAATGGTCAATCCCAGGACCACATGGTCCCACAAGCTGTCCTCTGATATCTACACATTTGCATACACAACACATTTCCATCCCAGCATACGCAATATGCTTCCCACATACACACTCTATGCAGTGCTTCCTATTGTCTCCTTTTGGTATTCTGTGCTAATGTCTAGTAATTCTAGTAGTAGTTGTTTCTAACTACCTGCTGCCCCTTTTCTCTAGTTATCCACACTGAGTATCTAACATTCAAACAATCAGAGGTCCCCAAAGATTTCCAAGTCAGTATTTATATAATAAAGGACAACCTTATCTTACATTTTTAATAACCCCCAGAGAGCCTCACACCAGTATGTTGTAACTAATATGGCAGAGAAATCCAAATCTGAGTCTGAAAGGAACTGTTAAACACAAGCACACTGCAGAAATGTCTGAAGGGCAGATCGAAAGCTGGTCCAGTCCACAGTGTAGGTGGACAGTTTTCTTAAGTTACAGGCATTGTGAAATAAAGAGCAGAAAGCCAACTGGGCTGACATGGTATTTGTGATTCAGGCCACAAAACCCAAGGCCAACCAAGCAGTGAACTCTGTCACGGCTTCACTGGGCTTCCAGACTGGCAGGGAAGAGGAGGGCAGGCAGGACAGGCAGCTTGTAGCTAGAGCTGACCCCATATTTACTTACCTCTGAGCAGTCTCTCCACACAGGACACCTCAGCAAGTTAGGGTTGTCCACCAGACCACTCCAATAGCCAGAAGAGGCTGAGGCTTTAGTTTGCCAGCCTGGGTCATGTGTGTGCAAATATAAGTGTGTGTGCTTAATCTGCCTTTACAACACTCAATGCTGAATAACTGACTGTAAAACTGGAGCAGTAAAGCAAAATATTGGTATCCACAAATAACTAACTTATTGCCACTGTTGATTTTTCAGAAATATACTATATTACCAACTATACGTCCTCTACCTTGTAACTAAGCCACCAAAAAACCTGAAAATTTCCGATTTCCTAAATCAGAACTCAGGTAGCTTTAACTAAGAAGTAAAAAAGTTTCTTATCACAATCCAGAAGGCTTGAAAATTCTCCAAAACTCACAGTTAATTTCAACAAAATCTTAACAAGACACACTTAGGCAATCAGGCTGTTTGCAAGCACTATTGGCATTACAGGATTATCAACTGGGTGACAAAGTTCCCCAAGTTGTGGAGAATACATAACCTGCAGATCTGCAGATTTAGGTTGCCAATGAGGGAAGTGATGCCGGTTAAGGCAGCTAAGAGTCCCTTACCACTTCAAGTGTTCTCTAGGAACCCCAGCCATACAGGCTCCTTCCAATTCCTGGAAGATGCACAGGTCACATATTCCTGACAGGCAACCAAGGCACAAAAGATCACCAACCAAGGACAGAGACAGATGGCAGAACCAGTTGTACCTTCGTACACTGGCACTGGCACATAAAGCCTATGTGAATTACAACAGCTTCCAGTCTTCACCTTTGTCTTGAGAAACTAAGAAAAGGGAATGGAACACAGCAGTAAAAAGAAACAGGTCTAAGAAGAGGCTGTATACTCAAGTCTTCACTATGCTAGGCCGGGCTATCTCAGAGCCATCAATTAACTAACGGTCAGAAAGCTGTATGTGTTTCTTCAGACATCACTCCCCTGAAAACAGACCACCAAAGAACATAAATTCTTAAGATTTTTAAGTGCATCTCTACTCAAAGGCAGAATCCATAAACCTTAAGGTAACAACTATGTCCTCATCTCAATGTTCCCTTAAGCACTCCAAAATGACATTTCTGCCTTCAGTTCTATAAACTGCGACTAAATATACTTAGCAGATGCTGTTGCTGAAGCCAAAGCTGAGAAGTGTTAAAGTGAGATGACTCCAATCAGGGCTGTAACAGGAACACAAGAATTAGGGATTTTCAAGAAAAGACTGTAACTGCTTTGCTTAGGTTGATTGTTGCTGAAAAACAAAAAGAAAAAAACTAGCAAGACAAAATGTTATGGCACTTTCTAAAAATAAAGCCACCAGTTAATGAGAAGTATACCAACAATCTGCGTTTAAATTAAACTAAGACTAAATTTGCTGTTCTAGTTTGGCCACCTATTGTGCATTCGTGGGTGTGGTGTGCACACGTGTGTGCATGAAGGCCAGAGGTCGATGTGGGATGTCTTCCTTAACCGCTCTCCACCATACATGCTGAGGCAGGCAGTGTCTGTCACTTAAACCCAGATTGCCAGTACGGCTAGTCTAGCGAGCCAGCTTGCTCTGAGGATCATGACTCTGTCTTCCGGTGCTGGAAATATAGGTGGACCACAGGATCCTCCCTCCAGTGTTTACCTGGGAGTAAGACTCTCAATTCTGGTCCTTACATCTATGTGATAAGTGATTTACCCAGTGAACCAGCTCCCCAGCCTTAGTACAGTAACATTTTAATATGTTACAAATTTAAATGATTCTGGGCATTACTCAATACAATTATTATTCATTTTCTATTTCTTTGTCAAAAGTATGCACCCTGGCTTTTAATTACAGTGTGACTTATACTCATGAAATGTACAGTAAAATTATTCAGACCTAGAGAAACTCCTACATGTATACTACAGATCTGTGTAGAAGAATGAGGACAGCCAACACGTCCACCAGCAGAATTCACAAATAAGTTACATGATAGCTCATGAACTAGTTACTCATTTCATTCCTATCACAAAATACCTGACATAATTTAAAAGAACAACTCATGCTAGTCACCGTTTCAGTGCTCTATCAGGAATCGTGGCTGGTAGGTGTGGCTGAGTGCTTCAGGAGTGGTCTTCTCCCTTTGCTTAATCCTTCCTGGAAAAGCTCTCACAGATACACTCAGAGGTGTGTTTTACTAATGTCTCAGGTACCTCAATACAATTAAGCTGATATTAAGATTAGCCATCACATGACTACTCCTTATCAACCTGAGACCCAAACTGATCTCCCTAAACTAGAACAGTCTATCCCTGGCACTCAAAACGGTCATACCCAGCCGGGTGGTGGTGGCGCACGCCTTTAATCCCAGCACTCGGGAGGCAGAGCCAGGCGGATCTCTGTGAGTTCGAGGCCAGCCTGGGCTACAGAGTGAGTCCCAGGAAAGGTGCAAAGCTACACAGAGAAACCCTGTCTCGAAAAACCAAAAAAAAAAAAAAAAAAAAAAAACCGCTCATACCCATCTCATAATGCACAATGCATTCAGTCCTTCTCCAAGATTTTTCACAGT